GGGACCTAATTATAATATTTTAATATCATATTTTCTCATGTTAGTAAAAATAAAAAAATGCACAGTACTAAAAAGTTCATAAAAAATTCTAAAAGAATTTGTAAAGTTCTATGAAAAGAAAATAAACAATTTTTGTCTCTTGTTATTTTTCTGTAAAGTTGATAGTATTTGAGAAAAAAATTATTGATCATCAATATTCAGCAATTTTTAGTAATTAATATCTTGTTAACTATTGCGAACATTGCAAAATGGTAGAGAACTTTTCGTCCCAGTTTAGTCCGCACTTCCTGCCCATGAGCGTTGTCGGATGAATTACGGGACACTCTGTATATACATATATGTACATATCTTTAAACAAATCATAATGCAATATTTGATAACTTTGTATATGGAATAAACGTAATTGAAAACAATTTGTCTTTTTCTTAAAATATCATAACGTTAGAAAAAGTAAAAACAAAACTGATGCATTTACGAATTAAAAAATAAAAACTGAGAACTCGCAAAACGATTTGTAATCTAAATAAAAATTTTAAATTTTTCTATACGAATCAGAGTATCGCAATTTTTTGCCGAACTGTCATCTCTCTCTCTCTCTCTCTCTCTCTCTCTCTCTCTCTCTCTCTCTCTCTCCCCCTCTCCCTCCCTCTCTCCCCTCCCTCCCCCTCCCCCTTTATTTATTCTAAATTCATTACAATTCATTCTATTTCACTTACTTTTAGACAAATGTTTAAAACAATATCGAAAGCTCTAAATTAAATTCATACCTCTCATCTTCAGTTTCCTCGCCTTCAGAGCTGCTGTAGTCATAGTAATTGTCAAAGACACTAATCCTTGGTTCATTTTCTCGGTTTATTGGCAACATACTTGCAAATTTCATGACAGCTTACGATCGCGACAACCACCGAAATTAATATATTATGTCTATTGAACGGTATAATTTTTAGATGCGTCATCGATTGACAAAGTATTATCATCGATGCCCCATGATAAGACTAGATAAGATTGATAATTAGAACCAATTCGAAAAGTGGAGTACCAACATCTTTCCAAATACGCTTGCCATTTAAATGCTGTAGTTATATTATGGCGCTCAACCAAGTCGTTTAACAAGCTTTGGTATAAATTTTTAGGAACGAGAATGTATATTTAATGTATATTATAGATAAAGTTACATGTATATTTTTATAACGTATATTATAGGTGAGTAGAATATTTTTTATAAATATTCATGCGGAAGAATGTGTTCTGGATCTGTATATATATTTTTCTATACTTATTTAGTTCCATAGGTAACATACATAATCCATATTTTAACATTAATGTATTTTATCATTTCCATTAACGTTAACGTCTAAGATCAAAACTTTCATCATATTATATTGACAAAACAATAACATTTGTATGACATGACTATATATTGGAAACTAAGTAGTAAGAAAATAGTATGTATATACCCTTTCTAATATATACCCCATCTTTTTAACTTCTCGCACTCATGTATATGCGTTTACTTTGTGATGCCAATGACACCGCAAGCAAGACGAGCGCCAGCATTGCCAGTTGTTTTTGATAACTCGTGGCCACCTTGGCCCAAATCATCAGGATCAGCATGAACCTGAAATATGAACAAGATAAATAAGTTTTTAATTCATATATGAAATAGATACAAAAAGAAACAAAAATAAATTAACAATTCTTTAACCATATGATTTTACAATCAAGTATGAATTAATGTACAGACATCTTTGATAAAATCAGCATTTTACTTTTAACACATTAATATAGTTAGGTATATAACATGTACTAAATATACTTAAAATATACTAAATATATACATTATAACATATTTTTAAAAATGTACAAATTATATTAACTTTTAAAGCCATTACTAATATTAAAGAGTAAGAATCTCATTAAAATGAGTCGTGGATTAAAATCTGATAAAGTACAAGTTAAACGAGACTTATAAATTTAATATACCACAAGAGTTCGTCCAATGATACTGTGCGCTCCACTGAGCTGAATCATAGCGTCGGTGATATTAACTTTTGCAACACCATCAGTACCAGCTGCCACGTTTCCTAAATCTCCAACATGACGCATACTGTCATTTGGACCACCATGATCTTTTCCTAACGGATTGAAATGAGCGCCTGCACTCGTGCAACCTGTAAAAATAGAAAAGATAAAGAATTACTTAATGTTTTCAATTTATGCTTAAAAATAGTACAATAAAAAAATTGTTTTAATTTACGCCATGTTCTTTTTAATTTCCTCTAGTTATTTTCACATTCATTCTCACAGGAAATTGACATTTTTTTCTGCTTAAAGAAAGACAAGAATATTTTAATATATAATATATACAAATTGTTAAAATAAAATATTTAAATATTACATTATCACTTAAATAAACAATTAAAAATACTCTCTTGTAACAAATTAAATTTGAGTAGTGTATGATATATTTTTATTATTCAATATTATAAGTAAAAGTTAACTTCAGGCCAAAGTCTTTTAAATGATTAAATAAATGTATTTAAAAAATTTAGAAATTATAATAAGAAAAATATCAAAAAAAGTTAACTTGAAATTTAGACTCCTGTCGATTCATTGCAGCCATCTTAGGTTGTGACATAAAAAACAAGAAAAATAATATACAAAGAAAATTCTTACAAATACTAAATTAAAATGTATTTTTTAATAAAACAACATTTACAATAGATAGAATAGATTTGTAGAATATACTGAAATCTTCCATTGTATTACGATAATATATAAATAACCATATATTATTGAAATTAAATTATGCTTATCCATATAACGATACAAGCTACATGACAGCTGTCAAACTGATATAAATATGATTTTATTCTATTACGAATTATAAGGAGTTTTTAGTTGATTTTACGAGTATACTCAAATGCAAACATTGTTTTATTGAAAAAACTTTTCATTTTTATGTCTACTTTTTGCGAGAATTTTCAATATATATTTTCTCACTTCTAACATCATCTATCTAAACATCCATAATGGTTCAGAAGATAAAAATTTGTAACTAAAAAGATATAAACAAATACCGAGACATTATATATGTCCACTGTTTACTCTGGCTCCTATTTGTGGCAAGTAAATAGATATTCGTTTTTCTTAGTGCTGAGACCATGTCTCCAGGGTCATACCACATATGTTCTTTCTTAATTAACTCGTTATCAACTTTATCAAAGTCACAAATAAGACAAGTTTGATAAAAACAATTTCAAACTTTTATAAATTCTGGGAAATTTTATCACAATTTTTAATGATAAACCAACAAATTTTTTTTGAGAAAAATTACACACAGACTCAAAAACATAAATTATATCTTAAGTTTTACATTCTACAAATTATTTCATTGGCTATTGAGCATCTAAAGATAAATTTAAGGAAGCCTTAAATATAAGGTCTGACTATAAATATAGACATTAATGTCCGAGTTATGTTATATACAAATACAAAAATTTGACCAGTTTTAAATGACTAACCAGCAAATCTGCTGCGAAATTAAGAAAAATTACAAATTTAAAGATTAATAAATTATATTTTAAATTAATTTTAAATTACGTAACGTCTCAGATATGCTGTGTAACATCTGAGTATTCTTATCAAATCTGACTCAAATGTACCATTGGTGTTGTCGCCAAATTCATGAACGTGAAAACCATGTAGACCTTTCTGTAAGCCGGAAACCTGTCCAGATACCTTGACCGTATTTGAACCTTCCTATAATGCAAATTAAGCTTTTATTCTAGTGAGAAGAAAAATGCAAGTAAATACTTTCAGAAATCAAAGTACTATTAACAATTATTAAATGTCATAAAATGAAATTTCCTATCCAAAAGAAATTGTTCTGACAAATTAAAGAATATAAAAATTATCGTGGAATGATTCAGGTATTTTCAATTAAGTAAAAAATGTAGGATGTATTAGGATAAACAAAAAATACTATCGTATCATATCATGTAATGGATAAAAAAATCTTTATCTTTTAAGTTTGTAGTTTAAGCAGTTAAGACATAAGCAGATATCTTTTGAAAAAATATAACGATTGAGCTAAAAATTTCCACGAGATTGACACGCTTACGCAGTGAAGAGATGAAGGGAAATTAGAACAAAACAGAATTTACCGTTTGTTCAAAATACACGGTCCCTTTAACAGGCTCTCCCTGAAGGACACAGACCGCCTTGATCGTCATTATATCACAAATGTATTCTTAGCTATCTATTTAAGCTTGCCCGAATGAATTATTGACAACGTTGACCAACGTTGACGTCGTTGACGATAGACTGCACGATAACTCACGATTTACACGGAAATTAAATAATCAAACTGCTGAATCACGTCGGCTGATATGCAAAACTTGGCGAATTTAAAATGATAACATGGCCGACAAATGTACTTGATCATACGCGCTTTAGGGCTCGTTCGGATTCCCACCCGGGTGCTCCTCGGGTATCATATCTTTCTTGTTTAACGTTCGGTAAACTACAAGGATGATATGATATCCGGGGAGCAATCCAAGTGAGAATCCGAACGCAGCCTTGACACCAAGCGTAATTGGTAGAAAAGGGGTTATGGAAGTAAATTTTATCCCTATAACCGTTTTTTCACCAATCAGTGGTCGGTGTCCTTAGAACATATACTACTGGAAGCGGAATTGCTTATGCTACCTAAAGTCCTAGATTTATCAGAGAGGCGCAACCGGTGTTATGTATTCTGATTCGCTATTGCAATCTAACCAATTGCGTGACTTGGCAGCCATTTATAGTACTAGTAATCAATCACAGTTATTCCATTCTTCAGAGAAACAGCTATGATTGGTCAGTTTCATAACATCGATGTTAAAACTTCAGCGTAAAGCGTGCCGTGTAAACGTAGTAAATATGACAAAGGTGCTAAGGCGAGTACTAAATATGGCCGACTGATATGCTATGAAACTGCCTTTAAACTATGTCAAACAAGATAAGACGTGTAGGATAATGTGAGATGAATGTATAGGATAAAATGAAATAGAAATATGTCACTAGTACTATAAATGGCTGCCAAGTAACGCAAATGGTCAGATTGCAACAGCGAATCAGAATGCATAACACTGGTTGCGCCTCTCTGATAAATCTAGGATTCTAGCTCCAACATACACCTATTTCCTCCATCTGTAGCTTCTACACACTCAAATGCACTCGTTAAAGTGAGTAGGAGCTATGGTAGGAACATGTTGAAGCATGTTGGAGTATGCGCCGCGAACAAACCTCTAGATTTATCAAAGGCGCAACCGGTGTTATGCATTCTGATTTGCTGTTGCAATCTAACCAATTATACAGACTTAAGCCGGTTGCGCCTCTCTGATAAATCTAGGACTCTGGTTGGAGCATGCGACGTGAACAAACCTTAGGACTCTAAAGCTGGAAACACAATAGACACAGGCAATAGGCACAGGGAACAGGCAATAACGAGCCGTCCAATCAGAGCTTTGGGGTGTAAGTTCGGTTGGGTATATTATATCCCAGAACTCTGATTGGACGGCTCGTTATTCCCTGTTGCCTGTGTCTATTGTGTTTCCAGCTTAATGCTACCCAAAGACATAATGCTGGATTTACACTGCATCCGATGAGCTTCGTACGACTCTCTGCAACCAATCAGAAAACAGGATTACGATGATACGAAGCAAAATCCATCGGAATCCTGTTTTCTGATTGGTTGCAGAGCGGCGTACGACGCA